CAAATCACAAGTTAAATTCCGTACAGCAACACTTGGGTTGCTCGGCTTAGTCGGTGATGCCTGGTTCTTTTGGGCTCTCTTAACGTGGTTCGAATTACCTACAGGGTTTTTGGGAACCACTGTTGAGTTCAGGAACCCTGAGCTGGGAGACCCGAGTTTGCTTAGGGAGTCTAATACCTTCGACGTAATGATGGTGCTGAGCCTCGACACGTCATCATTAGTGTTGATGGATGCTCCATCGATGGTATACCTATCAACATCCCTGTTTTTGTATCCGTCGCACGCTCGTGTTAGTCTACCGGTTTTTTTAATATCATTGTCCAAGTTAACTGACAACTTGTTCCGAATACCTGTCAGTAGGACAATGATGTTACTCAGCAAAACTACAGCATCCGTGCTGCACGTGACACATACCCATTTTTGGTCTGACTTGCTGAGTCTGTTGTAAGCAGTTGATGTCAGATCTGTGCATGCTTCGTGGAACCAACCTTTGCAGTTGTCGCACTGTATGCCAGTTGCAACAGCAAAACGGCATCCCGGACGTTTGCATGAGTTTTTCATGACTATGTTGAAGCAAACTACGTTATAAATGCTTGCAAGAGCCTAAGACCTTCATAAAACACTAAAAAGCACACTGAAAACGGACAAAAATGGATAAAACGAGTGTTATAAACTGAAACTAGTCTATACGTGAAAAACAAAAACAAACGGAATAGTAAACTGAGGCAAAACCACAGGTAACTATTAAATATGGTGAAACTCAAAAAAATAGTAATCTACCGAACGTATAGCTCAGGATAGATTCTTTAGAACTGAAATGGTACTTTTGTTGCGTAAGAACACAGCAAAAGTTTGATAAATGCAAATCACGTTAGTACTAAACTTCCCGTTCGAAAAGCGCACGAGACAGAATTACCCTTAGGTGGAGCTTACTTACTTACTTACTCCTGTTGCTCCTCGTGAAGGAGCATAGGCCGCTCAACAGCATTCTCCATCCAATCATGTCCTGAGCAATCTTTTCTAACTCCTTCCAGTTCCTATTCATCCTTTTCATATCTGCTTCTATTATCCAACGTAATGTGTTCTTTGGCCTTCCTCTTTTCCGTTTCCCTTCAGGATTCCAAGTTAGTACCTGTCTCGTGATGCAGTTTGACGATTTTCGTAATGTATGTCCTATCCATTTCCATCGTCTTTTCCTAATTTCTTCTTCAGCTGGAAGTTGGTTTGTTCTCTCCCACAAAAGTCTGTTGCTGATGGTATCCGGCCAATGGATGTTGAGTATCTTGCGTAGACAGCTATTTATAAATACTTGTTCCTTCTTGGTGGTGGTTGTTGTAGTTCTCCAAGTTTCAGCTCCATACAGTAGAACTGTCTTGACGTTGGTATTGAAGATTCTCACTTTGATATTGGTTGAAAGTTGTTTTGAGTTCCATATGTTCTTTAACTGTAGAAATGCTTTCCTTGCTTTGCCAATCCTTGCCTTTACGTCTGCATCTGAGCCTCCTTGTTCATCGATGATGCTTCCTAGGTATGTGAAGGACTCTACATTTTCCAGAGTTTCGCCATCAAGAGTGATTGGATTGTTGTTTTCCGCTTTGAATTTGAGGACTTTGGTTTTCCCCTCGTGTATGTTGAGGCCTACTGTTGCAGAGACTGCTGCTACACTGGCTGTCTTCATCTGCATCTGTTCGTGTGTACGTGATAGGAAGGCTAGGTCATCTGCAAAGTTCAAATCGTCTAACTGATTCTGAGCTGTCCACTTTATATCGTGTTTTCCTTCAGATGTCGAGGTCTTCATAATCCAGTCGACCATCAGACGAAAGATGAAGGGAGAAAGTAGACAGCCTTGTCATTCTCCGGTCCTTATTTATACCCCACCCCGTAGAAAACCAACCCGCTAAAAAAGTGCTAGCGAAAAAAAATATTTCAACCATTAGGTGGAGCGACGAAGAAATAACACTAGGAGTAGCGAATCACAACACTATAAGATTTAGAAAATTTATAAGGTCTTTTTCAGAAAAAATAATCAAACTATATCAGTTTCACTCCAAACGAATTCTAACGATTGGACACAATTTCAGCGCTTTTCAGTGCTCTCTCCTAAAATTATTTACTTTTTGGTCATAGCATCTAGAAGGTGAAATATAAAGAATTATTATGCATTTGACAAACCACATATGCACTCATTTTCATGCTTTGCTACTGTTTCTGATGCGAAACTTTTGATACCAGGTCAGTTTATTCTCATATGTCAACTGCCTACAGTTTACGATTGCCGAACTCCATGGTCAAACAGAAAACACGAATACCAGTTTGTCATACAGTGGTGATGTGATGTGCGGCATTCTTGTTTGTAAACAGCACTCTCAGTCGTTTGTAACTTTCAACTTACATGCCGAGTATCGGTTGGAAGTATGAATCGACTATAGGCTAAATTGCAGTCGCGCGTAACCTACAACCGGAAAGTGAAACTACGTAAACAGATAATTAGAAGTTTCTTGCATAATAAGTTCAATCTACTTGGGTCATCGACCAGTAAATGATACGGCGTAAGCCTATAGATTTATGGTCTCGTCAAACACAAGCACATCAATCTTTTTTAATATAAAAGTAGACAAAATCCATAAAATGTAGATTTGTCATGATGTAACCATTTAGTATATAAGATCTTACGTCACACAATAGTCCACACTAACCAATCCTACGTGTCAACCAGCGATATGAAGACCGGTACTTCTGAAGAAAACACTTTCGCTGATAAAAGAGTAATATTCTAGATATAAAAACAAGATGGTAAATTGATCATAACTTTCTGTCTCTGTCACAGATATTTTTCCTTCAATATGAAGCAGTTGAAGATAGAAACATATTGATCTCATATTAGAATACAAATTCATGTTTAAAATTGATTCTTAAATAGTTATATAATATATAATCATAATATTTGGAAGACACCTCTGATCAAATATCTGCTACATGCTCGTGTCTTTTATTCAACGACCGTGTTATAAGCCATAAAGCAGTAAGAAGCATCCTCCCGTTCATTCTATGCTTCCTTCGGCATGCAGTATGATATCTTTCATACCACACTAGTAACACAGGTTAACAAACGACAACAAAGCTTTTAAGGATGGTCCCGAGATTTTGTCATAAACTAATCCACCAGGACAGGTGATGTGGCAGTTGAAGCTAGACCACTTTAGAAACCCTGGAAGCCCTGAACGGCCGTTTCGTCCCGTTGTAGGACTCGGCAGTGCGCATCCACGACCTCGCCTCGTGGGATTCTAACCCAAGGCTTAATGGACTCACGCGAGAGCAATTAATCACTAGACAATTGAGCCGGCATGCAACGGTGTTAATGTCTAACTTCAACTAATCCACGAAATTGAGCGACATATCCATCATTGTCATCAGTAAGCTACTATCTCACAACAGACCTGGTTGAACCCCACTGGTTACTGCTTCTCACTAGAACTCCAGGATTTACATCTTGATGAAGCCAGTCACTAGTGAGCATATGTCGATTAGTATCAGAAGGGGTTTTGTGGAGATTTTATTAATTTTAATAGTTGAGATCATGAGTCAATTGAACCTAGACCACCATGGAAAACCTGGAAGTACTGAACAACCGTTTCGTCCCATTGTGGGACTCATCAGCAGTGCGCATCCACGACCCCGACTCGAGGGATTCCAAGTAGAAGATCGACGTACTCAGTAACTTCAGAACTTGACGTAGACCAATCATAAGGTATTATTTTGAACTTAGAGAAATAGGAACGCATCCGAAAAATGCTTACGTTTTCATTCAAGGCGATCAGTAGGATCTGCAGTTTAGTATCTTCACGAAACAAAACCGTCATCTGCATGTTCTAAGCCGATAATTTTTCTTGGTAAGGGATCAACTCCTGAACAGTTATTTCTAAGAGAATATCTATAACCAACTCAAGTAAACGGTTACATTACTCAACCCTGATGAACACTTGATGTTAACGATTCCGATGACAATTCTCCATACACTTCTGATTCAACCAGTAGTATTTAAGTAGAGTGTACAAGGTTAGTAGTTCTTAAATATCGTAGGGGCTAATTTATCATGACCTACTCTCTCTTGCTGTAGATTAGTTGTGGCCTTCTCGATTTTATTAAGAGTCGCAGGCTTTCGACGTTGTCCCATTCAAGTTATTCGGTAACATTAAGCAACTATAAGGTATCTAGAGCCAACTTGAGCCGTTTTTAAGGTATTCTGCGAATCATCCCGATTTTCTGGGATGTCCTATATTTTTCATAAATATCGTTAACAACTACCTTTTTAATAACTGTCTCCTTGATGAATTGAAATAGTTGTTCGCCTTTTCGGTCTCTTTTGCTTTCGCTGCTCACTGCTACTCACAAGCATTCCGTAGACTTTTGCCAGTTTATGTTTGAGTTGTCTTTGTTCACCATTGTATTTTGAGCTTGATGGAATTAATTTCCGAACATTTATCGACTTAGTGAACATTATGGAAATCCAATGATGTTTCATAACCTTTTGGTTCAAGCCGTTGGTGTATGTCACTGCTGATTCCATAGCTTTTGGATATTATATCAACCTACATTGGGGCGAACATTACTTTGTCGATTGACTAACTGGTTTAATAGTTGGTACTGAGATATACCACCACTGAATTAACCACTTCTATAAATCTAGTGTTCATGTTGTTATGCTAATGAGGTATGGAAACTTGGACCGATGCACATATGTGCCTGGTCTTACGTTGTAGCTGACTAACTGGAATATACTCTTGACAGTTTCGCCGTTTAGCTGAAATCTTAGGGATCTTGATTCTGTGACGCTTCAATACCCTATAAGATAGGCAAATGAGTTACCGTTTCCTGGTTACTAACATCGTTGAGAAATATTTGTTCTTGAGGCACTTGCAAAGAAAACTTGTTTAAAATTGGTTTTTACAATCAAGAAACATGGCTCCAGCATCCAATGGATAATTGTTTAAGGTCAATCACGCATGATTTCTTTTAGTAGTCCTAGTTAGCTCTGCGCTTAAAAAGCTTTATGGGTTGCGACGTAAATTCATGGGGCAAGACGATGTGGGTGGCCTTCAGGGTCGACCTTTTGCAACCCGCTCCTCGTTTCGGAAAGGCAGTGTCACTACAGAATCTGGTTGCTTGAAGAAAATATCTTTTTGCCGTCACACTCCTAGGCAGTCGGCATTACGACTACGTCCTCAGACAGAGTCCACCACTTTTCATACTAGCACTCTCAAACCGACCTACCTGGCATAATAGATAGTAAAAGAACAAATGCTTCCGCCGATTTAGTTCGATTGGGTCACTGCAATACATCAGCTCTACGATTGCATCAAGACAACAACTGTGGTTATAAGACTATGAACTACCTAAATATTGTAGTAATTAACGTTTTCAGATACCCTGACTGACATAATAATATTTATATTTAATTTTTTACAGGTATCTATGATTCAGTTAATTCTTCCATATCCGAAAACCGTTCCCAGTACTTTGCTGTCGTGGCTATTGCAGGGAAACAGTTCAAAGTAACTAATAACGATTTAATTATGATCAAAACACCGTTCTATGGAACTGACGTTGGTGATCGTGTTCAATTACAGAAGGTCCTACTTTTAGGATCATCAGACTTTACTATTATCGGTCGACCAATTTTACCAGTGCATCAGGTGTATATTGAGGCTGTAGTGATTGAAAAAACTCTTGAACACCCTAAAGTTTGGTACCAGTTCCATCGTCGTCGTAGACACCACAAACTGCGAGGTAAATTAGTATTTATTTTTTTCACATTTTTTTCAGTATTCCAGGAGAATGTTACTGTCCTTCAGATTATTGATGTTCGCCCCAATATATTAGCAACTCATTAAATTAATCCTTGAATATACGCTTACTCGTTAAAAAAACATTTAGACTTTTATATACTTTTAAAAATCCGTTTTCTGCGATTTTTGTTCATTTGAAGTATTTGATAGTGTAAACTACTGCAGTACTCAAAAAAGTGTATATTCTCCGAATCATGTCAAAGTTTGTTTCTTTCCCTCTCTCTCTCTGTCGATGAAAATGTATTTCCATCATAACAGATTCGAAGGAAAATAGTCTCAAACTTTGATTTGATAATATGGTAAAATGTCTAGCTTAAAACATCAAGAAAAGGTAGAGAGCATGTATTTTATACTTTTCATGGTATTGTAAAGTTTATTACTGTAACGTTAGTTTTGGTACTCTACGATTCTGACAGTCTTCATCTCAGGTTGAAATGACAGCATGTTTCTGATTTTCCCTCCTTTCAAATGAAAGATAATATCCTGTGCTTTTAGAAGTGAGTTTCAAGGGTGGTTACTTGACCTTGGTTACTCATCACTGCGTATTTTAAGCAACTATTTCAAAGCCAGTCATATATGAAACTGTTTTTATCCGTATTAATCTCCTCACAAGATCGTAACAGAAAATTAGTGAATATTAAGAATTGTAGAATTATGGTCTACTATGATATTAGTACTGCTCTAATAATAGACCTAATCCTAAAATTGTAGATTTGTCATGATATAACTGCCTAATCTATAAGATCTTACGTGGAAGTCACATCATCGTCTATACCAACTCACTGTATCGTAACAACTACCAATACATGATGAAGAACAAGCTTAGGCTAGAGAAAGAACAATATATTTAATATGAATAAAAGTTATAAGGTAATATTCAGCAGGGAACACGCCTGCATGGCCGAGCCATGCTATTTGATCAACTCCAATTCATTCAATACATTCTTCCCACCTTCTCCATCGTTAGGTATTTCTCCGCGTTAAATATTGAATATCTATTTTCCGAGTTGTCTCATATTCAGCTTTGAGGATTGTGTGGTTATGGTCCAATGCCACTACAGCATCAAATAATCATAAAAGAAAGCATCACTTTTAAAATCTAACAGTTTATAACAGGTTTTATTGGCATATAATTTATTTAATGGACAACAGAATTTATTTAAAAGTATAAGTAAAGTTTACCAAGTATTCGCTCATTGTTTTGTCAAATTTCTATTTACCATATAAATTCATTGGATCATTTGTTGACCTCAAATATTGTGACTTTTCAGAAATACTCTTTTTATTGTATTATATTTAAACATCTATTTGATGCCTGAAAATTCTAAACATTTCTTAATAAGTCCAGTAGTATACCATTTATAAAATCCAAAGAAGGGATATCCAATCATGGTTCTTCTATTTGTTAATCGCTTACATGACATTATTATCTCCTCCATCTTGTGACCTCAAGTGTCATCAATTCTCTCGCCTATTATTCGCCTTTTAACTAATACTTTTATTCGAAAACTACCAAAAGTCAACAGAATGAGCTTCCGTTTAGACTGGTTGATAAATATATAAGGATTGATAGTAACTGCCACCTTAATTCCTAATTTTGAATAACAGAACGTTTCAAGTAAAGTTCACTAAATATTGAACGTATAGTTTCTGAACTTGGTTGGGTAGAAAAAATGTCTGTCGCAACAACCAGATGTTTTTGTCTATATCACTTTGATGGAGATGTGAACCATTAGAGTGTGACTCTGATCTCAAAACATCGTGCCATCTAAGAGATTTGAAGGTCCTGAGTTTATTTGAACGTGAGTTTACGAATGCACTATATTTAAGCATTCTAAACTGAAACTCGACCTCTGTCCAGCACTAACTAGTTCGTGAATCCAGCTGATTTCAGTCTGCCATTGAAACTATCTTCATAAATAGCCGGAAGTTGGTTTCAATGTCACAAGTTCATTCACTATTTGTTTTCCTCCAAATATCTAATATACATTCTAGTTGTCTTTTTTCCCTTCTAAATCCACAGTATTGTTTTCTAAACGTATCGGCATATGTACTAGTTTCCCATTTGTGTTGCAAAGTGTGACAACTTTAACCAACTCGTCTTTGCGGAATGTTATACATTTTTAAGTCAGTGATTTGGACGAATCAAAGAAACAGGAGATTATTTACATGGAATTAATCTTTTATTAAATAATAAAACCTATTACGTGATAAGCATGGTGATGTATATAAACTTATTTGACGGGTTTACTTGTCCACCAATGTAGTCAAAAATCGTTTCTAAAGAAAATAAATCAGTTAAATATTAATATTTCAGTATTTGAGAGGAGTACTTATTTTCTACTTCCAAATAAATCTAAGGGAAGTTAATGCTTTTTTACCCATGGAGATTGACGAAAAGAGAGTTCTGTTTCTAGTAAAGCACGATTTTATTGTTTATTCTTCTGTAATTGCACGCAACTGATAATGTGAAATAAAGCAATATATTTTATTGTCAAGTTTGCCGCAAAAAGCATCATCATTACCTTCATTGTTTATCGATATATTAGCGAGAGTGCTTGTAATAAAAGAATACTATAACAGTCTCCTGGCCGCAATAATGAAGTTAATTTTTTAAGATGATGTCTTCTATTCATATAAACTCGTTAACGGAATAAGTTTCAGCCAATAATAATAATAATAATAATAATAATAATAATAAAGCAAAACATTGATGGGCCAGATAAAACATAAACGTTCTATTATCATACGTGGTAATTTGATTTTGCGCCTGATATAAAAGCTTATATGCAATCAGCCACTTGCTTGGAAAATATGAGAGTAAGGGTAGAGACTTTTTGCAGGATAAATGTGCACTCGTTTATATATACCTTCCTTAAAAAAATAAATACGAACTTTCAACTAATGGCATATGTTTTGTTCCTCAGATACGGCAGCCGGCGCCTGACCAACAGCTTGCTGTTATCATTTGACCTGTCTAATTGGCCAAGCGCATCACATATTGAATCACAAATATCCTCAGTAAAAGTTTTTATTCCAAGTGGCTTATGTTAGAAAACGTAATATAGCTAAATAAAAATAAATAAATAAATTAGCTCTTCACATTAACATATTCTGATTAGTTTCGTTCCTATTTCCAATGCTGTGTAAATCTTTATGCCAGGAGATTTACTCTCAATCTTGATAAAAGTAAATGTTTATGTTAAGTGTTTTTTATATGTCCGACAAAACTCTCTAGTGTCAGGTGTATTCTGTGCAATATTTAGAGATTTCAATATCATGATTTTTGCAATCTTCAATTTATAGCGGAAATAGTGGAAGTATAAAAAATTATGCCTGTTCAACTATTTAGTCTATGTTTGATGACGAATTATCACTCTGCCGTAAGCTAAGTATAAATGTAGATGGTGTTCATCAACCACGATAGCTCATTTATTTTAGTTAACTCTTCTGTTGATGTTAACGATTCAAAAAACGTCTATTTGACATTCTCTTGTCAGTTAGCCATTATCAATAGCATGCGGAATATCATATATTCGTGTGTTGCTAGTATTCTCTTCAGCATAAAAAATATAGGTTATACATTACGTGTAACAACACAGTCTGGCAGACTATATATTTATGCGACATCCAATTCTTAATGCTCTCTATCAATTTAACTAATTCTTAAGTCATGGAGGTTTAAGTATTGCACATTCTAAAGTCAAAAAATAGGGGGAAAATATAGCTTTTATCTAGTAACAACGTCAGTCAAACCAGCATTCCAAGTTTTAATTGGTGACTATTATTAATAATAACATATATGTTTCATCAGTGACACAGGTTCAAAACATTCTAACAAACGCAGATGATATCACGCAAATTTTCCAAACCTCGTTTAGCGTAATTAGGCGTGTTTCCGCGGCATAGACTGCTGCTCGGCCAAATAGATCATGTTTTTCCGTCATGAATATTGTTAGGGCACAATATGTGTTGCCTTCAAGGATTCAGGATATACATCTACCATTAATGATAGTGTGGATATTTTAGGCAACAGTGTTCTGATGTCAGATCGTGCCATTTTGTAAATGAATTTGACTAGAGATCGGTATAGTATAAAAATAATCTGTGTGAAAATATCTACAAAGTGTCATCAAGCATCATAAACATAACACAAAATCATTTAATGCAATTATGCAACTCGCCTGAATTACTTTCACAGTTACATAATGAGGGTTTGAAACAGCCAATTGGCCAATGCGATAAGAATCCAAGAGAATCTAGATTAAATATGGAATGTTACCAAGTTAGTTATTGGATTCACGTAGCATTGCAGGTTAATTCGACGTAAATCCAAAAGTAATTCTAGCCAAATACATCGCATTGCCTGAACGAACTTTCTAAACGAAATCCAAGCTTGCAGGAAGTTCAAATTCAGATTAAAATTCCGATATTCGTATTTTCTGTTTAACCATGGAATTCGGAAATCGTAAACTTGTAGGCAGTTGTCATATGAGAGAAAACTGTAGGGGATAGTGTGTGGTTGAAAAGAGCTAATTGCCTAAGTGCGAATACTGACCAGCATTGCAATAACATCATACATGTGAGCATTAATCAACTGACTAATAGAATAATGAGTTAAAATAAGTGAAGATCAATCGTTAAAGTCACAATGACAAAAGGGTGTTTCTCTCTAGTCGGTCTTACCAATGTAAAATCATTGTCTAAGTCGGTATTAAGTACATTTATTTATCCTACTAGAATAACAGACGCAACCTAATATGGTGGAATTGCTATGATATGACTACCTAATCCATACGAACTTATGTAGAAGTCATTTTATTATTTCCATGCTGATTTGTCTTATTATGACAGTCGGGAGAACACTTTTTATGAACTTCTAAAGAACAACTTTCGGCTGGGGATATGATTATATATTCAATATGTAAAGGAAGAGGTGATATATAGTGACTACGCCTGCACGGCCGAGTTATGCTGTCTCCTATGACCGTCTTCAGATGTTCAACAAATAATGTAAATCTTCCTAACTACTGTTTGTCCGGCTTTAATGATTGTGTGATTCCGCATCAGTTCCACTATACAATTTCTGTAATTACTCGTATATCCGTTACATCTCACTGTACAAAGTCAAATCTTTTCTGTCATTTTTCGAATTCGCTGATATATTTTTCACTTCAAGTTACCATTTGTTTCAACTACATGCATATGACTGGTAAGTTAGAGGATATGCTATTTTTGCAGTGTTTGAAAAAAAAGATAACAGAAACTATTTGAGCTCGAGAACAATATTCATGATAAGGTATCGATTTGATTGTATAATAGAAGGAAAAA